CAGACACTCCAGGCTGCTGGGAGTGCTGACCTGCTGGAGGGCAGGAAGGCTCTGCAGAGGATCCGAGGGGCTGAGGCCGATTGTCCAGGCTCAGCCAGCCCGGGTGCCGGGGCTGTCCTGGGTCACAGCAACCCCAGGCAGGGCCACGGGCTGGGCCAGAGGGGCTGGGACCCTGCTGGGCAGAAAAGGAGCTGGGGGTGCTGCTGGCAGCAGCTGGACATGAGCCAGCAGCGCCAGGTGGCCAAGAAGGCCAAGGGCATCGTGGCCTGGATCAGCAATGGTGTGGCCAGCAGCACCAGGACAGGGATTGTCACTCTCTACTAGTGAGGCCACACCTCGAGTGCTGTGTCCAGTTTTGGGCTCCTCACTTCAAGAAATACATTGAGGAGCTGGAGAGAGTCCAAAGAAGGGAAATGGGAGCTGGTGAAGGGTCTGGGGCACAAGTCCTGCGAGGAGAGGCTGAAGGAGCTGGGGGTATTCAGCCTGGAGAAAAGGAGGCTCAGGAGAGACCTCATCACTCTCTCTGCAAGTGCCTGAAAAGAGGCTGCAGCCAGGTGGGGGTGGGTTTCTTTTCCCAAGTAACAAGGGATAGGATAAGAAAAAATGGTCCTAAGTTGCTCCAGGAGAACTTTTGATTGGATATCATGAAAAATTTCTTTACCAAAAGCATTGTCCAGTACTGGAACAGGCTGTCCAGAGAAGAGGTGGAGTCATCATCCGTGGAAGCATTTAGAAGCCATGTAGAAGTGGACTTTGGACATGGCTGAGTGAAGGATTTGGCAGTGCTAGGCTAATGAAGGATTTGGCAGTGCTAGGCTAATGATTAGATCTTCAGGCTCTTTTGCAACTTAAATGACTCTGATTCCAATTCCATTGTCCCGAGGTTTGTTGGAATACCACAACTGATGTTTGTGGTCACATTGCACAAACAGGTATGGGCAATTTAGAAATACTGTGCTTGTAGTTTGACAGCGAGTTCATTTAACAAGATTGTCTGTTAATCAGCATTTTTAACCCTAAATCCACTACTTAAAAATATTTCCCTCCAATTCTGAGACTTGGCTTGGTTAATGAATTTCAAATAGGAAAGGCCTGTCCATATAATTTAAGAAGGGGAAAAAACAAACAGGTACCATAACAGACACTTCTAAAGCAACACTAAAGGTAAATGTCATTTACAGGAAAGTTAAACAAGTATAGGCTTAGCTACTTCCCAGGAATGGTTACTCATGTTTGCAAACAAAGAAACAAAAAAAAATTTATACACCATAATTTAATACTTAGGGGCTCATATCCCCGGACACTTAAGTTATAAACTCAGAAAATAAATTCAGCAATTTTCATCTTGGAAATCTGTGAGCTTAATTTCAAGATAAATACTGTCTTTTTTTGATCTATATTCTACAGTTCAAAAGTAATCTCCAAAGGAGTAAGTAGAACCGCCACCACTTCCAGGTCAGATACCTGCCAGATGGAGACTGGCTCAGTATACCTGAACTTTTAGACTGGAGTTTGTTATTTTTAAGGGCCTGTGAAATTTAAGAGGCACTTGAATATACAGTCATTACAGTATAAAATGTTCCCAGAGTTCTCCCAAGTTGTTTTCTATGCTTGCTGAGACCACAAAAACCGGTCACACCTTTCCAACATGGACTGAATCAGCACTCTGCAATTAAAGCAAAGGGGAGAGAAAAAAAAAGGTCAAATAGTAAAAAAGCTAACAACAGGAAGAACAACATAGTTTTGGTTTGATGTTTATAAAGAGAAGTTTGTAAAAAACATGATGGCATTTCAGAAGTAACATCCTGACATCACCATTCACACCTTTGGAGGAATAGGAGAGATCAGTCTGTACAGGTCTCAGCAGAACAGATCTCTTTCAGACAATCTCCTTCACATACAATTTTAATGTAGGATTTCCTGTTTCCTCATTTTCATTTTTAAAATGCCTATATTGCAAAATACTTAAATAATATAAAAGGTTTCAGATGAGTCTAAAATAAGAAGAAAGCTTTCAGATGAGTCTAAAACCAAAGGTAAAAATATGAACCACTTTATCTTCTTGTAAACCAAAAAGGAAGTTTAAAGCATGGAGGAGATCCAAGAATAGTGTGGATCTTCTGCTGACACATCTCTTACCTCTGCCTTTTCTCAGCTATTCTCAGTATCTCACAAACACCAGTAAATCTCTCAGACAATTCTAGAGTCAAGCCACACTCCTGCAAGAGAGGCAAGGCACGATTTGGGCCGATGGCCTTGGCCAGCAACAGAGCGACGTTTTCTACAGTGATGCAGTCTGGGCAGCTCGGGCCTCCATTGCTGACAGCATTCCCATTCTGTGGGCTGTGCTGGTGGAAAGCTGTGCTGTGATTCTGTGCAAGATGCAGAACAAACTTCCATTCTTCTATGGTCTCTGGAATGGAACCTAAATTTAAAAGGAGTTTGTTACATTATTTGTAAAACAAGGACTATTCCAAAACTACTATGTAAACTATAGCTGTACTTAAAAGGGAAGTTAGCTATTCTGTTTTACTATGAAATTTAGGAGACCAAGCATTATCAACAAGCAAATTGTGCACAGAAATTTACTGCTCTGGCTCTGTGTAAAGATTTAGTGGTGAACACACACAGCTTCACAATAGTTCAGTATTCAAGACTTTGGATTACATCAAGAAACAAAGTTTTTTCCATCTTAGGGCTGGAATGAATTTTCTTGTAAGTTCTGCCTTGTGGTACAGTGCTTTGCTCACCCTAACTTTGGGTGTCTGCACATGTAGTGGGCGAGTTTTGTGCTGTGCAGGAAGGCTTCCTACTCCTCTGTCTACAACAGCAAGGTTAGCCTTTACTCCAAACTGATAAATAAAGAGTCTTTAACTCCAAACATTTTCTAGCACAACTGATTTCACATAGTACAGCATAAAGACACGAGAGTATAACACCCATTTATATGTTTCAAATATGCTGTATTACACACAGGGCTACAAAAATACTTCAACAAATAAGAGTTTAACTCAGCTTTGGGCAAACCACTATATAAGGGCAGTTCCTACATTACAAGAGTATGTTTATATAACTTAAGAACCACTAACCATCTTCTTCATTCAACAGGCTCAAATCATCCAAATGAACAATATTAGTAAAGGCTTCTATTCTTCTATGCAGCTCCAGACAGAGAAAAAGATATCCAGGCCAAAATCTTGAATAAGAGAGTAAAGATTTCTAGGAATCAAATACTCAGTTCAAACCAAGGTCAAGAACAATCACATGATCATTTAAGTATCAGTAAAGACGAAAGCAACTAAATTTAATCAATGTCAGAAACAGAGTAGGGACATGAGGAATACCTCCCATTTGGTACATTAAATTGGACACTGAATATTCACCCTCAAGAAAGGAAATGTTTTAAAAAAAACCTGTCCAAACAAGAAGCAGATAGGCCATTTACATTTGTATCTTCTCAGGATCAGAATATCCACTAACCTAGTATCAACAGTTACCAAATTTTCTCCTTACCCATGTGATTTACAGATGTCAGCCATCTTCTCTTTCATAATAAAATCAGCTGGGAGTTTAATCAAGAGCAGAATGAGCTGGCTGTAGCCCCAAGTAAACAAATGTGATCTTGGCCTAGAAGATGAGAATTCAGTTTTAAAGCATTATTGATTTTCTTCAGAACATTATGGCAGATTTATGAAAAGAGAGGAGGAAAAATGCATGAAACACCATGTGCAATGTCATTAGAGCAGTCACTCTGAAAGGCATTGCAAATAAAAATTATTCAATCCTTTGGTTGCTTCTGCTGAAACTCTGCAAAATGCTCCAAGGAGTCAGTGATCCAAACTTTCACACAAAATCTAACCCAAAACCAGACCTGTTAAGTCTTTCTGCTGCACTCAGGACCTTGGATGAAACTCACTATACCTGGGATTTCCTTCCTCATCCACAGTATTTGCCCTTTGTGGAGCATCATGAGAAACTGCCAAGCACAACAAATCCAACCGTACAGATTCTGGCTGCAGAAGAGACCTAAGGAGAAATGGCCTGGAAAACAAAGCAGACACTTGAAAAAAAAAACAATCCTACCAGTTTTAAATATACTAGATAAGAAGAAGCAATGATTGTGTGTGGACAAATTAAAAAAACAAAAAGGCAGAGGTTGGGGGGTGGGGAGAATGGGATGTAAAATTAAATGTGGAAAAGTCTAAAATGTTTTATGTCGCTATAAATTGAGGCAACCACAGAAAACCAAGTTTGCAGGTTGAGTTCCCACACATTTGGTTTTTTTTGTTGTTGTTTTTTGTTTGTTTGGTTTGCTAGGATTTTTTTAAATGCCATCTAACCCTGATACACTGAACTGCAGACATAGGAACAAAAAAAAGTCAATTCCATTAAAAGTATTTTTTAGGAAATCCCTTTTAAAACTAGATACTAACCTAACAAGAAGTCCACTCTAAGGCCAGCTACAACTGGCAGAATTACTTGGAACCTAATGCTTAAGAACATCAAACAGACAGATACAGAAACAGAAAAAAAGGCCCCCAAAAAGCCAAGACAAAAAAATCTCCACACAGCTACACAATGAAGACAGCAGACAGATGAAAAGGATTCTACATTCCCCTCACCTTTTATCCTCTGGCTTAGATTTCACCAGACTATCTAAATATGCTAAAAAGTGAGCTGGATCATTTCTGCAAAGCTGTTTAATATCAGAAGGCAAAACAGAGGGGTAAAACTTGATCAAGGGCCGAAGAGCTGTTTCCCCAAATTTTTCATAAAGCCTGGAGAAAGAAAGAGAACAAAAACTATTTTCAGTACCAAACAGCAAAATATTTTTTTCAAGATCTCCTGCAAGTTCAAAATAGTACTGAAAGGTGATCTCTCTAAGAGAGTCCAGGCATCTCCATGACATGGTAAGTGAAGCAATTCCCACCAGGAAGTTCAGAAGACTTAGGTACAAACCTTTGAGCATGTGCCAGCAACAGTGGGCTGTCATCCCATGGCCCCAGGTCATGCAGTAGCTTCAGTATTTTCAACATATCCTCACTTTCCATTGCTAAAGCCACTGGACTGTGAGAAGTTATTTCTGAAATATATCAGTGCACAAGTTATAAGATTCGTGCAATTTTTTTTTTTCCTTAGCATGTCCTGGCCCTCCTTTTGTCCTTCTGCTGAACAACAGCTATCAGTGCTTTCATGGGAAGTTCAACACCCACCTCAATCCTGATGCCTGGTATTATCTCCAGGCACAAGTGTCCAACTAAGGACAAACTAAGAATGCATACACTACTTTCACTTCTAGGGCTCTCAGAATCCAAACAGTGATATTCCCAGAAACACAAACACCAATCCTCAAAGCAAGATTCTGTTGTTTATCTGCTCTCTGCTGGAGCAGAATCAATGCTAAGGCTTTAATTCATTCTTAAAAGAAATACATAAGGCAGCAGCTGAGTGCAGAGAACAGAAAAGTTCTGTTTTCCAATATCATCATGAAGCTTTGGTTCAATAAAACTGAAGATGCATCAGAAAGATCAGAAACTATTTCTGTGGAACAGGGAAGTGTGAAGTGATCACAAGCCACTCATCTGCATGGAACCATCTATTCCATTCAGTTTTGTTTCATATTAACCTTGCACATTCCTGTACAAGCTGAATTGGCTAGTGCAAATGCTGAAGCCCCTCCCTCTCCCTTCTGCCTTGTTTCTACAGATTTGTGATTCTAATTATGATGCTTTAGCTCATGTTTGTAAATAGGCTGGAATCACTACAGTGCTCCATTAACAAGGTCCATGCAACTAACAGGTTCTAAGCTGCAAAGTGGGAGGAGAACAATTTCTCTCCAAGGAGCCAACACTTCTTTTTTTAAGAAATCACAGGTTATTCTGAGTTGAAAGGGACCCACAATGGTCATCAAGTCCACCTCTTAAGTGAATAGTCCATACAGGGCTTGAACCCACAATGCTAGGATTATTAGCACAATGTTACAACCAGCTGAGCTAAGTACTTCCTAAGGGAAATATCTGGGAGGAAAAACAATCAACCAAACAACCCAAAACCAGAACAAACTCCCACACACCAATAATTCTCCCACTGCCACACTACACCGGCAGAAGGAAAATCTTCAGACATGATTATGAGAGTATTCTCCCAGTCTTATTTTCAGTTTAAGAAGCAATACAACATTCATAATTTACCTTTCAATCCTGCAATGTACGTCTCCCATACATTAGGGCTGGTGGCACATGTGGTTATAATACACTGTTTTACTCTCTTTAAATCCAAAAGGAAGAAGTAGCTTCGCATAAACCTACAAGCCAAGGTCCCTGAGGCTGCTGGTGGCAGACTTCCCTCAGAGCTCTCCTCAGCCTCAGCACTCCCACCAGAAAAGACACGCAGCTCAAAGCACAGGGTGGTCAGCTCCACGAGATCTTTCAGAACATCAGGTTCCATGACACACGGAGAAGACACCCGAAAGCCACAGCCCAGAGGCCCTGTCACATCAGTGCCATTTTCACACATGGTTTTGCTCACACAGGTTTCATCAGTATTTTCCTTTTCAATGCAGTCTTCCAAAATACCACTCTGTTCCTTGTCTGCTGGGTCTCTGTCAGCTGAAGCCACTTGCAGGGTCTCCTCCAGGACTGCCCTCTGATCTTCAGCACTCACAGCCTTGCTTTTGTTAACAGACAAAGCAGAATGCTCCTTGCTGAATTTTTCTTCTAGATAGACAAGCCATTCCTGTAAGACTCTTCTCATACATTGAGGTTCTAACAAAACCAGGGGATCCTGGAGCTTGGCCCTGCAGCATAAAAAAGAAGTTTGCTAGTTTAACAATTATAAGATGCCACAAGTGAAGTTTTAAATAGGTTTTGTGTAACTATTCCCTAGACTTGACTCTGACTCAGTTGTTGGGTCTTTTGTGATTTTGATTTCAAACAGAATTTAGGCTACTTCATACTGTCTACATATGACCTCAGCATATTTTGAGCTCCCTAGGATTTCTTTCAGAATGAATTTTTATTTTTGATTTTTATTTTTTTAAACTATGCCTGCATTTAAGACAAAGGGATAATGCTAGAAGAGCTTTTAGTGAGTCTTGCTTGATTTTAAAAAGAGGAATCAAGTCATTCACCAAATGAGATTCTTTCAGGTTATGTTACTAGACATTTAGAGCATCGCTCATACATGCATGTAAAATGAACAAAACACTTTAAAAACCCATTTTTTTTTCTGCCAAAGCCCTACATATCTATACAGTAAAAGTTTCTCTGCTTACATAGTTTCTGCTGTTGCAGCCTTGAGATCTCTCAGACGGTCCTCCTCAGGAAGCCGGCAGTTCTGGGGTTCTGACCTTGAAAAGCAAATTCATTTCAGTCTTATCTGAAGTATTAACTTCAATAATTATGTGAGGATTTCCTGAAAAATTTCTTCAGCACTAATTCCTTTATTAAATACAAAGCTATCACTTGTAAGAAGGAACAGCTCAACAGAAATTATGGATAAACTGGGCATGAAGAGCAACAGATAATACTATTTTTGTGGCTTTCTATTATTGCTTCTACTCCAGATACAGTAGATTTCTGCAGGTGCTGAACAAAAAACAGTACCATGCCACTGTATGAAAGTTAGTCCAAACTGGTAAATAAGCACTGGAATATGAAATTACTTAGCTCTGTGTTCATTGCCTCATCAGCTCTAAGAAAAGAGTTGGGAGAACCACTGAAACCCACCACAGGCAGCTAGAAAAACCTAATGCCAAATTCCTCACTCTGCTTGAAAGAATTTTTTTCTATCCTCAGGACATCCAGAAAATGTGATTTTGCACTCACTCTTTTTCTTCCTGGAGAGATCCTACTGGATTAAGAGTTAGCTCTGGAAGCTGCTCATCATCCTTTGCTTCATGCTTCCCTCTAGATTCAGGACTTATATGAAGTGTGCCAATCTTTTCCGTGGTTTTGCGTACGAAGCTGGAAACACTAAGAATCACAAGTTCAAACATTTAAAATCAGAAGTTTAAAAGCAAACAAACCAAGCACTCTTTTCATTCAAACCCTAATTTCAGAGATTTTATAATCTGAAGAACTCTTGAGAAAAGGATAAAAGCAGTGATGACCAACAGGAACAAAACTTACTAAGAACCTGCTCAAAATTCATACTCCAGCCATGATCATGTTTTCATCACAGAATAGAAACCTGAAGTATTTAACACTCCTGCTGGAGAAGCAGGAACACATACCAACATGAGCCACAGATTTTTGACATGTATGTGTAATTTGTATGCAAATAAATGCAGATCGGCTACATTTTAGCTTTTGCATTTTAAAGCTTTAACACATAAAGCATCTTTCAGAAATTATGTCAGTCTTGGTGGTAAGAAACCACTTTACAATGCTTCAAATTAATTCTTCAGATTACAAAGCTCACCAACTATGACCTTTTCACTCAGCAGTCCCTATTCCTTCAGGTATTTTATTGGAGAGAAAGCTCAATGAACATAGCAGAACTCAATTATTTCTACCACTGCCATGAAGAGAACCAGGTCAACAAGACTTGAACAGAAAAAAAAGCTTCCTGCTTTCTGCTCTATAACTAAAAAAAAAAAAAAACAACAAACCAACCCAGCATTTTTAGGCAGAAAGAAAGGATTCAAATCTAGCAAAACAATTGGATTTGAATGTATAGAAGGATTAAAGCTACTTTTTAAAATTAACTGTAAGTATGATAGTATTTTATTTAATGGTTAAATGCATACAGGAAATACTTGAAAATGTAGCTTTCATTATCAGCAGAAACTAGTAAGGTCCTCAAGGCTGCTTACAGTTTAGAAAGAACTCAAAACATTGCATGTTCTTCTGATGTTTATTCTGAGATCCTCACACTGCTGACAGCAGCCACAATTCTTTGTTGCAGGACACAATTTACCTAATGAAGTGATCAAGGAAAGGCTGTGCAATTTTTTCAGATCATTGCCAGGCCAGAGATATTTTACCTAAGTAATTAACGTACAGCACTTTCATAAAAAAAAAAAGTTAAATATTTAACACCATCACCTTTGTATTTGTACACCCACCCCCTTATCTTCCATTTTTTTTAAAAAGAGTTCTAAAATACCAATGTGATTTACACATAACATGGATACAGATCTAAGTGCAGCAGGTATAAGCCACGATTATTCCATAAGTGTTTGGGAAACCAATTAGATTTGATGAAAAGTTCATGTGGGGATAGGACTTTGCAAGTGTGTTTTAGCAATATCTATCTGTTTGTTCCTATACAACATAAGATGATTTTCCCCTAAGATACAGGAAGGCAAAATCCCAAAACAATATTCAGTAAATTTTCCTTTGAATACAAACCACAACCAGAGTTTACAGGGTAACAGTAAACATTCCTAGACATGTAACATTTATTAATTGTTTAAAACTGTGGTTGAAGTCTTAGCTCCACTGAAGTTACCAGCAGCTCTTTGTATCTTCACTAGAGCCAAGATTAAGACTTAAACTGTCTGGCAAACCTGACTTCATCTCTGGTGTTCCAGTTCAGGTGTTACATGTTTGCAGAACAGAGCATGAACTGAAGCACACAATGCTACAAATCCAGGGGACAGAAGAGGGCAAGATGTAATGGATGAGTGAAGCTGCTGCATGTTTTACCTTTCTTTGACAGCTTGCAGAGAGACGAGAGGAGATGGGGAACGGAATGACAAAGGAATACTGAATGGGAGAAATGTCTCATTCCGGTCAGCCTCAACCACCACAGATGCATGAGAAACGTTCTCTGACAAATGGAATTGAAATAAAAAGTCATGAAAACAGTGGCCTAGCAAAAAAAAAAATGAAACAGTGAAATGAACTGCAAGTCACTAATTCATTAATGAATAACCTGCTCACCATACTTTCCTTTTTAATACTCAAGAATTCATGGAGCCAGGTTTCAAGGGCCATTTTACTACTGACTTTGAACCTAGCTAAGTCTGCTTTATTAACAGTGTTTTGGCTTTATAGCATGGCAAATAACGATCAACAACGGTATGAAAACTGTCTTCTAAAATTAGACTTACAGACCATTTAGAGGACAAAACTTTGATTTAATCCACCGAGTTATTTATACATCTAGGAAAATTAAGTAGTGTGGCATACATCAATTCACAACTGATTGTAAAGTCAGGCATGACCATGATTTCCAAAATCTAAATCACATGTGAACAGAGAGACATGTAATCCATGATTAGGGTATAAATTACCCTCTTATTTGAAAGGACTTAAAAATCTAAGTGAGCCCACAGCCCTCTGGCTCTTGCCAAGAATCACAGGAAATACAGAATGACTGACTATTTCCTTTTCTCTTCTATATCCTTAACAGTATTTACAATGTGTTTTGCTTAATAATTTCCTGGTACAAGCACACACTATCTTAAGTGATGTCAACAAGAAAAAAGGGAACATTTTAAGCCAGGATGACAGTGCACTTTGCAACAGTCAGCAGTAACCACAGCATTGAGAGGAAAAGATGCTGCCCTGTTACAGAAAATCTACCATCAGAATCCCTCAAGGGATTCTGTGCCTAAAGGTCATAACTGACTTTACAATCGGCTGTAAATAAGGCTGCTTTTGTTCATTATGCAGACTAGCAACCTAAAAACTCATTACATCTTATGCCATTGTGAGCAGGGCAACAGTAAGTCCATTTCTTCCAAATACCAAATCAAGTACTCGTGCTTCAAGAAGCATCTAGAACTTCTCTACTTGGAAGTAATCAACAAATCTGTTATCTCTTGTGGAACACACAACCTTTCTATCTTCTGACATTCAAAAATTAAGTCACTGAATTTTCACTTTTAATGTTGGGAATTGTGTTTCAGAGTTTGCTCACTTGTTTTTATGGTGATGTAGGTAAAGAGGCACATGTACACCTAAGAGTATCTCAGGACAACACTACTGATAAGTAGGGAATTAAATACCAATTTCTGCACTCTCCCTCCCCAGTGTGGTTTTCTCCAAAGCATCCAAATTCTCTCAATCCTCAACTGGCACATACTCCTTGCAAAAGCTAAAAAATAGCCTTTTTATAGAAAAGCCTCTCTATCATACTTAGAACTAAGGCAGCTCCTCATCATCCTAGGTTTCTGCAACCCTTCCCAATCCCAATCACAGCAGAGAACAAAAGCCATTACAGTCTCACTCTAGCTTAAGCCCAGTGACAGGCATTTGCCAGAAAATAAAAAAGCTCCCTGCATGGGCTAAATATTAGTTATTAACTATTCTAGCACACCAACACTAAAATTTACATGTGTAAGAAACGATCTTCTGTACAAAGGAAACCCTGTGAGAAAGTTAAGGACGCTTAATCAAAATACTTCTGCTTTCCCTGAAGAAATGTAAGCCAGAATCCAAATTAAGAAATTTTCTGGAACAAACATTACAAAAGGATACTGGCAGCAAACAAATCTTGTTTGAAGCTCAATTGATACTGGCATAGACAGCTGAAAGAATCTTAGCACTAATGCTCACATACACATGGAGAGGGAGAAGCTGGAGTGAAGGCCATGCTTCGTAAAGCCCTCTAGACCTTTTGTTTTGTTTCACTGGGTTTTGTTTGCTTTTAAGTCTGGATTCTGTGGAGCCATCTTTTCAACCCAATGTTTCAGGAAGGATTTTAACTGGAAGGTGGGGTGACACTTTCAGTTGATCAAATTACATGTATTAATAATGAATAACTTGAAAGTGGAAAGTAAGAGCACAGAGCCAACCCAGTCAAGTTCTTGTAGAATAAACAAGAAACCAAAAACATTCAACAAACATTTTCATTAAGAAACACTACCAAGTTCTAGTTGTTCATCTTCATGGTGTGCAGGAAATTCTTTAAGTCTCTCATCTTCGGAGAATGTTTGACTGTGGAGGGAACATGAGTCTTCATCTGACTGACTGCCCCTTCGACTGATAACACGGTAGATTCCAGAGTCTAGGACACTGAAGCTTTCCTGTCAGACCAAGGAGGGGAGTTAGACACCATGCGAGTTGCACTTCCTTGTTCAATTTTCTGCAATGAACTCAACCAATTGTACCACACAAACTCAATCACTTGTACCCACCTCAGAGCATTTCATAATTCACTGCCTGGAAAACTCCTATTTAGCAGAGTACTTCTACCATATCCAGGATAGGAAAGAACACAGATGCCAGCAAGTGTGCAGTTCAGTGATTTTAAAAAGATGTGTATGCTGCAATTGGTTTTAGAAAAGCAGCCTGTGGAACAAGTGGTGTACACAGTGAAAGGCAAAACCCACCTCAGCTCTAGTCCTTCAGTCAAGACTGACTTTCACTTCACCCCTTTGTAGCTGCATACCCAAGAATCTGTCTTCCTGCTGGACAGCCATAACCAGCTAGCACAACTACAGACCCCACAAAACTACTTCATTTCAGGACCAACACACATTTTTTTGCTCATGGTTTACTTTTGCAGTGGGCAATGAAGAAAAACTTGTCTACCCCATCAAGATGGTATTTACATTACTTGGCTTTTTAAACGTTCCTTTTAAACACTGTTAAAGTGAAAGCAGCAGCCGATATTGTATAAACTATGAAATATTTCCCCTTTCTTGAAAAGCAGCTGTATATTTATTAGAAATATACTTTGATTTTATTTAGAGCTTTCTCCTTAAGCTTCTTAGAGTGTGGCAATTTTTAAAATAGGGCTAAGATAGCTCTGAGCATTCAGACATTCATTTTCATCACATAAAACTAGAGTTATAACCAAGACTATCTTTACTGAAGTACATTAAAACATTAAACAGAGCTGTGGAAAAAAATCATCTTTGTATCAATCTTTGTCCACATCTCAGCCATTAGCCCTAAAATAATTTGGGAAAGAGGGAAAGAGGCAGAGGTCTGAGCTTATAGAATGCAAGCAGTGATGTTTCATACCATTTCACCCCACCTAGTTTTAGAATACAGCATTATGGGCTGTAGTAGACAGGGTAGAAATGAAAGCCTCATCTTCCAAGTGAGCAATAGGGTGACTTCAAGCCATAAAGATAAAACCTGTAGATAACATTTCTGCTGCTACCAATACACATACATGAGATGAAATACTGCTCCTTCTACTGCTGCAAGCAGAATCTAGAGGTTCCAGCTTTGCAATCAATTCTTCCAGTTGTGCAGTGAGATCTTGCTGAGTTGAAGCATCCAGCTGAGACTTCAAGTGCTCCAGCTTGTCTAGAGGCAAATTTTTTCTTGCCTAAAAGCACCCAGTGAAACAGAAGCATTATTATTTCTAATGCACATGTGAAAACAAAACATATATGCAGGATGATTTTAACCCTTAAAGTATAATGTTTAGACACCTTTAAAAACTCCAACAAAATTAATCTCAGTAACCATGAAACTTAATGGAGGAGGGGGGCAGGAAAGACAGTGAAGTTGTATTGCAAATTTACAAAGAGATATATATTTACTTACTCTGCAAGAAACAATTGAATTTTGGAAGAGACAAGAGACCCTGGCAGCGAGGGTCCAGAATCCTCTTCTCATCAGACGCTCTATGCAGCGATCAACCAACAGAAGGGAGAGGTGCACAACTTTCCCATTTGTATGCAGACAGAACAACTCGCTCTTGTGAACTGCAATATCCTGAATATCTGCAAAATCACACACAGAGCAATACCTGAAGGACTGAAGTCATTAACCAACATTCCTTTCTGTCCCTGAAAGAAGATGAAAGTATATTCCCACCTGACTGTAAATGAGTGCAAAGCACGAGAGGCATGGGGAAAACAAACACTGAGGAGTGCCAACCTAGCACCTAATCACTATAAAACAGTTTCAAAACTTTCCAGAGCTCCATTTCTAGCAAACATTCAAAAAATACACTAAACTATCAAAAAGTTTCCTTTTGCTCCAAGATAAAAAATTAAAGCCCGATAAAGATGACAAATACAGTTACGTATTTGTCATCTTTATCAGGCTTTAATTTTTGAAACAGAAGGAAAATATTCATTGGTAAAAAAACAACTTTGTCCTTCCAGAAGTTTTCAAATACAATACTTATGCTGTATGCAAACACTCCATAACAAAGGTATTGCAAACTTAACACCAAAATGGGGAGAGGGGGAAAGAGTGACTGACAGTAACTCTTGTAGGACTCTGCTTATAACCAAATACATCCCTGTTTATGAGCCTTCACTCATTTGCCAAATGAATATATTCCCTGTATGTAATTTAGACAGGTTTTAGGGAAAAAAAAAAACCCAAAAAACCCCAACGTTTTAAACTTTCAGCAGCCGGATTATCCTTCATAGGACAACTGACAATGAGCCCAAGTAAAAAGGAAAGGATACTGCAGGTTAATCACATGTATTTTAACTACTGTATTTTATGAGTCACTCTACACCATGTTTTGTTGCTCCAGAAATATGCTTTGAGATCTATGGAAGGAGGGGTTTGCTGAAGGAGGCATGGAAATGGTTAATATTCAAGGATCTATCAGACACATGACAAGTTTTTTATAAATATTCTGCAATCCAGCTGCAGAAATTGAGCTTTAATAGCTTCCATGCTAGGCAAAGACTTCAGGAACAACCAGTGTAACAGACAGTGTTACAAAGCAATGTTTAAGAACTTTTAGTTTACCTTTAACTTCACTCCAGAGCAAGACTTGAAGACTTTGGGGAAGAAAAATATAAATGCCTCTTTCTGTCCAGGTCACCACGCAGTGCTCACTGCAATCAAAGCATATGGTAATGGTGCAACAGTCAGTTGTGGTAAGATAAGTTAAATAAAAAAAGTAAAATATACAGGGATTGCATTGTCTTAAGTATAGCAAGCAAGATGTGAGACATGTTTAGCATGATACTTGGAAAAATCTTATGCAAAAACCTGAAGTTGGTAATATAAATTCGAAGAATATATAACTTTTAAGCCTACTTTATCAACAGGAAGATATGCTGTCAATACTCACGTCAAATACAGCAGCTTGGGGAAAGATAAAGATTGTGGAGAGCAGCTGGAACCAGTATAATGAGGATCCTGCCTGCAAAATAAAATTATTATCAAGTACAAGCATAACTACAATAACAGAACTTTCTAAAATTCTTAATCCTGTAAATACTTGGCTGTCTTAAATAAACATAGCCTCCTGACAGCAGAATTCATTTGCTCACAGACACAGCTGCAGAAATCAGGGTTTTGGCATTTTTGATAATTACTGGCTACACCTCTTAGGGGAGACAGTATTAAGATGACAACTAGGATTAACATTTGACTGAAGGAGAAGTTCAGTCTTTTTTGTCTTAAAGATGTCCCAAACAAGTTTATCACTGATAACACTCATGTTTCTACCTGAGAGTAATAACAGGAAGAGGTGGTGATGAGAGCAGCTGCTTGAACTGATGTGTGCTTTGCACTTCCCCATCAAAGTTCACCTCCCACATCCTCGAGCCAGGTCGAGCACAGTATATTAATGGCTGTTGATTCCCACTGTTTTTTCCAACAGGAAAGAAACATGCTCCAAATTCTCCATCTCTCTCTTTATTGCCAATCTTCCAGAACTTCTCTCTAGAGGGGAAAAAATAAACTTGTTAAGTAAGCCAGCATTAACAAAAGCCCTAATTAATTTTATGGTTTTCTTGAATAATAAAAAATACCTAATCCCAGCTGCTAAATTGGTTTTGGTGCTTAATAGAGAAATCTGTAATGATTATTACAAAGCCCGCCCAAAGTTTATACAAGACAGGGTGCAGAAATATTCATTAGTTGAAATGAATGCTCAGATCAAAGGGGTTTTTTCTCAGCAGAACCAGTTGTTCAGCCTAATGATGGGAAAGTGGGAACATTCCCAGAAATCACTTCCAGTCACATGAAAAATAAGACAGTGATTATGAACAGTCAGCATGAATTTATGGAATGGAAATCATGTTAACAGCCCTCTACAACAGAATGACTGGCTGGGTAGTTCAGGGGAGAACAGAGGATGTTGCTTATCTTGATTTCAGTAAAACTCTTGACACTACCTCTCCCAACATCTTCAGAAACAGACTGAGGGAGCATGGGCTAGATAAAGAGACACTGATGTCATTTCAGAAACTGTGTGTGACTCTGAAGTCCAGTATTTCAGAAATAAAACGGAACTTACCTCTCAGTATCACATAAGTAAGTGCGGGTAAGTGAAGATATGAGCAGTCTTCCATCCAAATAATCAAGTTGAACCACCCGAGAATCTACAGTGGTTATAATCTGGACAGGAAACATCACAAAAGTAGCAGCAGCCTACAGATAAAAAAAAAAAGAGAAAACATGCTGGTCTTTAGTTCAAAGTAAAGACTGTTTCATTATGTTAAAATAGCAAAATTCAGCAAAGACTCATGTATGCTATGAATACACAACAAAAGACATAGCAGTGCCTTTCTTCTCTGTCTTTACAAAGCAAGGCTACAATGCTCAGAAGCACAAGAGTCTAAATCCTCCTTTTCCCAAAACCGCTATTAAAGATTTAAGGAAAAAAAAAAAAGTCATATCCCTGTAGCATCCTACAATTTCTTTATAAAGGGTTTCTTCCTGCAACATTTAGAGAGGGTTTTATTCCTGCTATTGTAAGCTTTGTGCTTTTTCTTCCAATTCTCCCTACAGGTGTGTTGAGCTAACAGTTTTAGAAACAGACCAGAGAGATTAACTGATACCGAAAACAACTTCTACTGGAATTAGATTGTTCACAAACTCACCTCCTCTGTTACCCTGCCACAAATTATCTACATCTATTTATCCTACCAGTGTCTCAGTTTGCACAGGCGGATGAACAGTCTCAGACAGACTTATGGGTAAGAAAACTACTGGGAACTGCATTTGAATTTGCTATCAGTTACCATTTTTGCCATCTTAGAGTTGTTTTCCCTTCTTAGGAATATGACAAAGTGCATTATCGGACAAATCCAACAGTCCTGCTCCTTTAACAGGCATGAAGAGACACAGATTCCATGGGCCTTTCTCCTCTCTTCCCACAGCTGAACTTCTCCCACCCTTTACTTAAATGTTGTGATGGTCTTGCTACTTAGAAGATTTTGATGAAAAATTGACTTAAATGAGGGCTAGAAAGGACCTGGACAAACAACTATTTCTAGGTTCTGTTCCTTTTTACTAACTAAAAATAAAGGACCCAGTAGAGGTAAAGCTAAAGAACACTTAAGGGCCAGAAATCAGGCTGCTATCACTAACAGGTGTGTCCTTTGCACAAAATATAAAGCATGTAGGCTCAATGACCACATACCATTTATTTATCTAATCCAGATGTTTAAGAATGAGAGCATCCAGAGAAAGCCATGCAAAACCAGTCTGGGACTGCTCTTTCTCTGACCAACAGCTTAATTAAGGACTAAAACAAACAGCTGAACCTGTAGCTGGAGTCTAAGGAATCCAATAGGCTCAGAAACACCAAGACCTTTAACTTTGGTACTTGTAAATTCCAAGAAGCAGGAGATTGACCGCTTTTTAATTCTGAACATTTGAAAGCCTTTTCAAATTGCATTACTAAAATAGACAGACTAAGGATGGGGGGAATTCATGGGTCAGGATTTCTATGGCTGTCTCAAGAGACTGGTTCTTCATCCTATATAGTTAAAGCTACCAGAACTTCATCAGCTGGCAAGCCCTGCTCTGTTCCACTTTGCTAACATAAACAAAGAGATTCCACACATCATCCCCAGTGAATGAAGATAAATCAAAGTATACAGCATTTTACCTTCCCTTGTTTTGATGTGTTAATCTTGATGGCTGATACTTTTCCCACATGATCTCCTACAAAAACTCGAAGGGCAGCTGTATCCCAGCACAAAGCTGTGACTTTTCTGCCCTTATGCTCAGAGGAAACATAAATCCGTTCTGGCTTCCCACGACGCTCCTGATTCAGCTCCCAGACTACTACAAGGCCTTGGCTACAACGAGTTAAAAAGAGAATACAGGCTGAAAATAAGTCTTCTAATGTTTTATCACTTAACATAGATGCAAACACATCTCCTCAAAGAAAGAGGAGCCCCAAGCAAAGCCAGCATGCCTCAGAGCTGGTTCTGTTGGAGGTTGCATGCTTTCAGCAAGTGTCACACTTAATTCTGGAGAAGAATAAGTGTCCTTCTTTGCACAAAAATGTATAAGCAGCTTTGTAAGGCTATTCTTACAGTTGTTACACTTGCCAGTGAGGATGTGGAAAAACATTTAAATGGATTTTATTAAATATAAGTGGAATTAACTATCAATCTCACTCTACCATGTTAATGAGAAGGCTTCTTTTCATGCTGAAAGATCTCAGAAACATTTACCATCATAATTTCACAGGCATGAGTTCTGCCATAGATGCTCTGTTACAGAAATAATACTTAACCTAGAATGACTATTCCAGAAAAAAAAGTTAAGCAAACTGTCTGTGTAGAGAATTATCCTGTAGGGGCCTCTACCAGCTAACCAGGTAAGTTAATTCTGAGTTCTCAGCAACTGTCCATGTCTGAAACTTGAAGCTTCTTAAAAATATTAAGGTTTGTGAGTAGACCACTCACCTGGTTGCAACAGCAACGTAGTCTTCATCATGCAAACAACAGGCCACCTGGGAAATGGCACCTTCCTGAAAGCAAGCATGGGAATAAGAGCAGGTGAAACTTGTTGCTGTACTGCCACTACCATTGTGCAGCTTTTATCTTTAACATATAAACCAGATTCATGTCAACAGATGCTACCACTCTGCTGTGATGTGGCTGGTTTTTACTGTTTGCTTAGGTTTTGTTTGCTTACACTGAGTTTACTCCAAGATGCAGCTGTCAACATGATAACATCAAGACCAAAGACTGCACTGAGTTCTCTGATTTGGAAAGCAAAGAAATCACTCTTCTGTCCTCACACCTTTGGAAGATGTTTTGACAGAATTAAGTGAGGTGCTCCCAGCCTTAAAAAACTGGCTGCATTCATGCTATACTGAAAGCAGCAGTGGCTCCTAAGAAATAGCACCCGGCTTTACAAATAACAATCTCTGTTTCACAATCTCTTCCAGCAACAGCAAGTCAGCCTATCATTTTTTCACTTATCCAGGTATATCACAGTGGACACTCAAACACTGGGAGTTATCTACTTGTGAGTTGCTCTGGTTTCATATTGAAAATTTTCTTCCAATCCTTAAATACTCAAATAACTCTGTTGCTGTTGTTAAAAAGTAAGAATTTGAAAAACAAAGGTTTGACACTCTGAAGTAATATTTTTCACAGCTCATGAAATCCAATACACCACACACTGTAGGGATAGCCTCCAGAACCACAACCTGTTTTAAACACAGCAGTCCAAAACTTCACCTTCTTTGGACAACCCAGTAAGCTGAAGATAATTATTAACTCTTAAAATGCATTAACTTGAAATAATTTTTCTTTCTCAGCCCCATTTTTGGAAATTTTCATTTAAAATTTTTATCCTTACCTTGTGAGTGAGAAAAAGTCTTTGCTTCCAACCATCCTTCTGGATAAGGTTCAGTCCTCCTCCTGAGCTGCCTAGAGCCAGCCATCTCTTTGACACATCTATACACGTGCACTGAAGAAATAAAAAATCATAATGCATAACCTGGTAAGTTCTGATCACAGCATCTTTTTCTTGCATTTTTACAGTGGTTTTTTTAAAGGCTTCATTGTTTGCCAGCTGTGTGTACCACTCCTGAACCACTGGCAGGGAAGATTATTAAACAGCACTCTGCAATTGGAGCAAACAGTGTAAGCTGTGTCAGGCTGTTACCAACAGCTGCATTAAGGAAACACACAGAGCAACAGGGTCCATTATCTTCACTCTTTCTTCCCAAAGTACTCCCCCTGCTAAGACAGCATACACACATCCCAGAAAGAGTTAGATTAATCCTACGGCTTAATCAAATAATTAGCCAAATGCAGTCATTACTTGAATTTTTTAAAAATTAAAAAAAGCTGTACAACACAAACTCACCTTAAGACGACTGGAATCCAACCTGAGCGCAGAAAGCAACGGATCCAAACACTCCAACTCTGCCAGGACATGGTTGTAAGAGTCTGGAATTACTGGCACAGAGGCCATGGATGCACACAACTAGTGCTGCTCATTCATGGGTGTGTTACAGCTTCAGCTTTTAGCTGTACCTGCCAAAAATAAAGATCTTGATTAGCTCACTTTTTAGCATTAGATCTGGAGTTCCACGCTTAAAGAAACACTAAGTGTTTTCCTACTCAAAAAACATCAGGTCTCAGTTTGCCAAAAAGAGGTCCAAGGGCTGGAAAATAAGACTCCTGCTTTGTTTATGAGAAGATTTTGTTCAAGTTAATTTCTGAAAAATTAACCTATCAGATAACACACCTGGAAATATTTAAACTTTAGTTATGTTTACATCTGCCTACAAAGCAAGTTAACATGTAGCTACAGAAAACACCTTGTTTTCTGGAAAAATTTACTTTTCCCCACAGCATGCACCTTTGATTTGAAACTAACTTTCTCAAGGAAAAAATTTAGCATTGGTATAACTACATCATATTCTCCCCCAAAAGTAAATTTAAAGAGCATTATTCTCAAGTTATACTAAATTCAGAATTAACTGCATTTATGCATTTTGATACAATTATAAGCTATTGTCTCCACTGCATGTCTTTTCCCGCATTCAAGTGATAACAGTGAAAACCAAGAATTAAATAACCACTAAAATCACAATCTCATATTTTTCCTAAGCAGCACATACTTTAAAATAACTTCTCGTTGAGTTTAAACCTGCACATTGCTTAACAAAACGCTAAACCTGTTACACTGCACAGGCAAGTCCCGGAATTTCTAAGTATGCGGTTCCATAAATTAAGGAACTCCCTCCCAGAAAACCCGTCACGGGAGAAATTCACATTTCCTCAAAAGAAAAGCGAGCGCTCACTCTCACCAGGCGCTAGGAAAAGGGAAGCGGCACATTTAGCCAACGAAACTAAAAGTTATTTCTCAAAGCGTCTTAAAAACCTTAAATGGCCACTTCTGCCCTGCCCGCTCTCTGCCACATCCCACCTGCGTGGCCCGAGCTCCGGCCGGGGCTGCACCGCGGGGCTCTGGCTCCCGTACCCGGAGTGAGGCGAAGGAGCGCAAAGGCAGGAGCCCTACCCACAGCGCTTCAGGAACCGCGGCGGGGGGACGGGGGACGAGAGCCGAGCCCCGGCGGGGCACGGGGGGCACAGCTTGTTGTTGTTGCTGCCGCCCCGCGCCGCCGCTCCCTCACCGCGCCCCGCGCTCTCCCCGCCGCCGCCTCCAAACAGCGCGGCCACGTGACCGCGGGAGGGCGGGGCGGGAGCGCGCGCCCGCGCCGCGCCGCATCACGCGCCGCCCGCGCGGGAGGAGGAGGAAGGGGGGGGGAGGAGGAGGAGGAGGAGGAGGAGGAGGAGGAAGCGGCGTCACGCGCGCGCGCCCGCCCGCCGGCCACGTGATACCGTGACGCGCGCGGCGCCCCCGCCCTCCCGGCGCGCGGGCCGGGGCCGAGGGGAGGCCCCTCCCCCGCAGCGAGGCGGCGCCGCCGACCCGGGAGCGGAGCAGGACGGGCCGCCGGGGCCCGTGGCGGACGACGAGCGGGGCCCGCGCGGACGGGTGACGGCGGGGAACGGGCCGGGCCGGGCGCGGCGGGGATGGGCGCGGGGGCGGGGGGGGGGGCGGTGGCGGTACCGTTTTACTGCCGCGTAACTGCCCCCTCCGCCCGCCGCCGTCATGGCGACGGGGGTGCGGTCGCCACGTGACCGGGGCGGGGGCCGGGAGGGGCGCCGGCGCCACGTGACCGCCGGGGACGCGCGGGCTCGGGGCCGCTCCCCCGTCACGTGGCGCGGGCCCCGCCCCCGGCGCCCCGCGGCCCGTTCCGGTCACGTGCCCGCCCCGCCCGCCCCATGGCCCCGGCGGCGGCCGCGGCCCGACCCCCGTAGCGCCGCCCGCACTCGGAGCAGCGCCCGGCGCAGCCCGCACGGTAAGAGCCGCCGGCGCGGGGCGCGGGGGAACGGCGGCGCCGGGCAGGCCGCGGGGCCCGGTCCGCATCACGGCCGCGTCGACCCGGCGATCTGTCCCCGGGGGCGGCGGGACCGCGTCGCGACGGTGCCGCGGCGGCCTTTGGCCTCCCGCGCTTCCTTCCTGCCCCGCGGACGTGTGACGGTGGCCGGGCCGGAGCTGCGGCGAGGGAAGGGACGAAAGGGGCGGCGGCACCGCCGGGCTGCGCTCCCCGGGGCCGCGGGGGGTGGCGGGGAGAAGGCAGCGCTGCGCCGGCGGCACCGCGGCCGGGGACACCGGGCTTGGCCCGGCTGCCTGGCCCGGTGCGGGCGGCAGACAAAGAGGTGCCGTGGCAGCGCCTGCCCCGGCTGCTGCCGCGCAGACCCCGGGTGTCCTCGGACCCGTCTCGGGGCAGGGTGACATCCCTCCCGGAGCGTGAGTGATGCTCATCGGGGCATGGCCGGGCTGGCTGCTCAGGACCGTGCATCCCCCACGACGTGCCCGGGACGAGCGGCACTGCTGCCGCTTCTCCATCCTGCTGACAGATCCTTGCCACGCCGCGGGGCGCTGCTCTGCCCGCTCCCGGAGCTGGCAGCGTCCCTGTGCCGCTGCGGGTCAGACTGGGCCATTGGCACAATATTCCATGATTCTGCTGTTGCCTGCGGGGAGCGGAAGCCCAGCAGCAGAAAGGCCTGCATTGATCTGTCAGAGCTTGCCTGCCAGCCCATACCCACCCTGGCCAAGTCAGGATTACTAAAACGTGCAAACGTTTCCTTTATTTCTGCTCAGAACTCGACAAAACCATATGGGAAGAGACTGAAGTGCTGGTAACAGAGAGTGTTCAGAACAGGTGTTGTAAAAAACAGAGATGAGAGGTACTGTGTCTTAAAAGTGGTTAGGAAGATTCACTGCAATGGAGGAAGGATAGCTGATGGAATTTGATGGCATTTCCAGAAGCTGTTTGCTCCCACAGAGCTGGGAGGGAAGGGCTTGTAGGTGGATAAGCACACAACATTTCTTTCGGTCAATGACAACACTGAATCCTAATAAACCTTGCCCATTGTAAACTGCATCTGAAATTAACATCCCCAAGAAAGGCCTGATAACAAGTTGTACCCCATTGTTAAGGCTTCTGGTTGATCCATGTGCTTTTAGAACTGTTGACCAAGCTCTGCTGCTGGTGAATTTAAAATAAATTGTCTGACCTTGCTCTTCTGCAAGATACTTGAACCAGCTGCTGTAACACTTAATGCCGAAGAACACTAATGCTGTAGCAGGTTAAAATTATCACTTAAAGCCACAAAATAACAGCATTTCTCTGTGTGTATGTGGCAGCTCTTGCCCTGTACAGCAGCAGTGTCATCATCCATAGTATTGATTCCTGGGAACTTAAGATGTTAAATGTAGAGGTTATAAAATTTGGGCAGGCACAAGTACATCATTGATGGCTCTCACTCTGCTGCATAGTAAGCCTTACATGCTCAAAAAAAAAAAAAAAAAAGCTGAGCTGTGTGTGTGTGCTTTGCTTAGCAAGGATGTAGCCTTCCCTGTAGGAGACAGGGAATGAAATCCTCAAGCAAGATTCCTATTTTAGAATTTTTCCTGTACTTCTTGTAACATGAAGCCATTTTGTTTCCATTAGTGACAGACAGTAACCTTCCTAAATCCCTATTATTAATAGGGCTTTTTTATTCTTTCTAATGTACTGTTCAAAAGACAGCTCAGGGCTTTCTCCATTTTGGGTAAAGCTTACTGTGCTTGTGAGTTGTATCATCCCACTGCCACTGTAAATTACTGCAGGAAAAAGGAAGTACAGCAGTGACAGAAAGAAGAACAGCATGAGGCAGTGTGCTCACCCTCCCAGAAGGTGGAATGAGCCACTTGCGGGATAATTGTGCTCTCACAGATTGCACACTGTAGGGTACTAGAAGGGCTCTGAAGGAGAAGTTGGTAGCTGCCGATTCTTTGCTTCTGTAGTTGAAAGACTGGGTGTAGGTAGGTGAAACGGCATGGTAGAAAAGCAGAGCAGCTGGCATCAGAATGAGCCTGACTGTGGAAATGCTTTCCTTTTTCTTGCTGTTCTGTACAGGTTCAATTCCTTTGTGTTCTGTGGCTTTGCCTCCATTGCGTTGGATAATAATGACCTTAAAGCACTATAAAGTAACAAAGGAAGAAAAACATCAAATCCCTACTCTTGCACATGGTGAGGTTTCCAGTCTCTGAGAGTCTGTGGTCAGCTGCCTTTTTCCAATAAGGATTAAGGTGCTGATGAGACTGCAGACCTGCAATAGGAAACTACATAAAATGGTTGTGTGAATAGCACTGAAAGGGAATAATGCTGCTGGGAGACTGTAATGGATTATGCTAGGGAATAGTCCTGAAATCATGCCATGCAGTTTTCTTTGAGAAAGAAGTATTACCAAGGATGCTCTGAATGTGGCACAGCATGTTCTAGTGACTGCTGCAGTGGTGCTGATGTGAAACCCCACATTCAGCTCAGCATGACTGAGCTCCTTAGTAAAGCCTTGGATGGCTGGAATGGTGAAGGAGCGAAGTGTAAGTGCAGAGCCCTTTTGCCATTATGTCTTTCCATCAAGTGTGTTACTTAACTCATTTGCATAGGAGCTTGTAAGACTTCTGTTGAAGAGAATACTGTGCTACTGTCCAAGTTGTCAGAATAAAATGTCTTACCTTGCTGCTGGTTGGCATTTTGTTATCTTTTGGGGTTTTTTTAAGAAAAAAAGAAGTATGAATTTAAATGCTTAGAACTACCATTTTGTGATACCTACTAGTAGTGTGATAACTGATGCAGGTTATGGTCTGAACTTCGGCATGCATCCCAGCAAAGATAACAGGCATTCTGAAGCACATGCAACATGCACATTAGCATTGGAAAATATTATTATTCATATCAGTAGTAAAGTTTATGATACACAAAATACAGCAACTGCACATACTAAACAGGTTCAGCAAACTTACCAAATAGGTACATTTTTGATAAGTGTACCAACTGTATGTTTGACAGTGTAGTCTTACTCGCCATATCCTTTATCTCTTGAAAAATTTAAGGCTGTAGGGTGAACCTGGAGAGAGGAATGATAGTGACTGCTGGGGAGAGCAATGCCACAAGTATTGAAAGTCTTGTTGGTTTGTAGACTGCTGACAGAATTATTGTTGGGCTGTAGTATGTGTAGCATTAGTTCCTCAGACCTTGGAGGAGAGGGACTGACCAGCTGCAGTCAAGTGTACAAAATGTTGTTCAAGCCTTGGGCAAAACCCACTGCAGTAAGAACACCTGATTCTTACTGGGCTACCTTATCTTTAGTACAATGAACTGAATATCCATGATTTTTCACATACCTTGTATCCTTCTCTTTTCTGAAATGACTTAGCATCTGCCATTCCTACTGAAAAAGGGAATTGCTGCCAGTGCCAGAGAAGATTTGGAATTCGTCATTGCTTAGCTTCAGTATTCTTCTGAATTAGAAAAAACAGTAAAAGCACAGTAAAACAGTTTAATTTAGTTACCAGTTTAAATGTAAGATTTGTGGATCTTTTAGTGGATCAAAAGCAGTATCAGCAATATAATTAGGTGGATTTTTTTGGTAGGTGGGAGTATTTTGTTTAAATAAATTTGCTGATTGTACTGAAAGAGGGGAGAATGTTTATCTGAAATACTCACAAAATTATATAGGCATGAACAAGTGAATATGGGTTGTAGTACTTTAATATAGATAGCAGTAGTGAAAGAGTTACAGCACAGCTAATCAGCTCAACTCTGTGTTTTTAACAGCTCTTTGTAGCCACAATGGCAACATCATCTGAAGAAGTGTTGCTGATAGTGAAGAAGGTGCGGCAGAAGAAGCAGGATGGGGCCCTGTACCTGATGGCTGAACGCATTGCCTGGGCACCCGAGGGCAAGGACCGCTTCACCATCAGCCACATGTATGCAGACATCAAATGTGAGTGAGCACTCGCCTGCTGCACTCAGCACTGCTGCCATGGATGCCTAAATCACACACAAAGCTCACCTGCCATATAGTGCTACCTATAGCTACCTCAGGAAGCTTGCAAGGGCCTGGAGCTCTGGCCAGGATTCTCTGTAGCAGCAGAGATCAGGACTGTGGTGAAGTATCACCAGCTTAAGGATGCTACCACAGAACTTCTACAGTCTTCAGATGTTTAACTTATGCTGCATTTACTATTAACTTTGATAAACTTCTGCAATAAATAGAACAGAAAAATAATTTATGCCATATGCTTGTAGAGGGGAGGGTGGGAGGAGGATCAAGGAAGCATATAGGATTTTCATCCTAACGCAGAAACTACCTGGCATGTCATCTGTTTAACTCAGTATCTAAAGCTGTTTCAGTTTTCATATAAAATGAACTCAGTTCCATTTTCATTCAACAGACCGTAGCTTCAGAAGTGTCAGCTTGTGTAGTTTGGCCTAGCTGGTAGCATTCTGAACAAGCATTTGCTGTTGCAACAGCAGAGTACTTGCAAGTCAAAACTAAACAGTAGATGTCTATAGTATGCTGCCTTTCTGGCTCCAGTTAGTACTCATGTTTCATGTGATGTAATGCCAAAGAAGGAATAAAATGTAAGTTGTATGTGTCACTTGGTAATTGTTTAGTGATTATTGATGTTTAAAGTCACATACAAGCACTGCAGCATAATCAAAACTAGAACTAGATGATATTTTCTTAAATATGAAAGTGATAAGTTTAAAAGCCCCATTCACCTATAATA